AAGGAAACCCGAAAGCCTAGTCTACAGTCTTGCAGGTTTAGCAACCCAAATTGAGTTGCTTTGCAAAATTGGAATCTGCTTCTAAATTAGTATTTAGCAGCAGACATTTCCAGGGAGTATCTGTGGGTATACTGGGTCAAAGAAAACATAATTCTTCCTAGGAAGCCTTGAAGCAAGCAAAATGCTGTTAGTTCCCATGGCACAGAACTTCAAACACAAGGGCTGAGAAGGTAGCTCAGTGGTAGAGCGCTTGCCTTGCATGCATGAGGCCTTGGGTTCGATTCCTCAGCACCACATAAGCAAAAAAAAGGCCAGAAATGGCACTGTGACTCAAGTGGTAGAGCGCTAGCCTTGAACTGAAGAGCTGAGGGACAGTGCCCAGGCCCAGAGTTCAAGCCCCACGACCAGACCCCAAAGAAAAAAAGAACTTCAAACACAGTGTGCATACAAGACTTCATTCGGCTAACTACAACCATAAAAATGATTAGAGGCTATTATTTCAAAGCATCTTCTATAAACATCTCTGGTCAAAGAAACCTGAATCTTTGCTCTGAAATCTTGAAATAGTGCAATGAACATAGTACTTAGCACATCAAACTGAGTGACTGTAAAAATTCCACTGGCCACCATCAACCTTTAAGAATTTAGAAGCAGATCTTCCCAAAGTCCATAATCCTATTGTGTAACTTAAACCTGAAAGCCTATTCAGAAGGCTTGAGGTCAGTTAAGAGCTCTTAGATTCAAATTGTTCACACCTCAAACTGAGTTGCTTTGCCAAAACTCAAGTGGGTAGAAGAAACCATGTAGTATTCAAAAGCAGATATTTCGAAAGAGCTTCCATGGGCGGACTCTGTCAAAGAAACCAAAATGCTTCCTAGGGAGCCTTCAAGCCAGTGAAATCCGATTGGATTTGCATGTTTCAAAACCTCAAACCAGTGTGTGCATAAGGATTTATTCAACTAACAACAATCTTTTAGTAATTAGAGGCTTATATTTCTGGTCATTTCCACAAACATGTCTTGTCAAAGAAACCTGAGTCCTTGCTCCAAAATCTTGAACACAGTGCAATGACTGTAGGTTCATCTTAGTATGTCAAACTGAGTGACTGTGTAAAAACTCCACTGGCTAACATCCAAATTTTAGTATTTCGAAACAGATGTTCACAATCAACATCCATAGTTCTGGGGTAAAAGTCACCTGAAAGTCCGGCCTGGAGATTTTCAACCTTACAAAGCTCTTAGGTTCAAAGTATTCAGCACCTTGCACTGAGTTGCTTTGCCAAAATTCAAGCAGGTAACAGCAACTATGCACTATTTAAAGGCAGATATTTTTCAAAAATCATCCATGGGTATACTGGATCAAAGAACCCTGAATTCTTCCTAGGAAGCCTTGAAGCGAATGAAATGCTGTTAGATTTCCATGACTCCGAACCTCAAACCCAGCATGGGTGCAAGAGTTCATTCAGCTAACAACAACTGTTCAGTAATTAGAGGCTGATTATTCCAGTCAGTTTCCATAAGCATGTCAGATCAAAGAAACCTGAATCCTTGTTCTGAGATCTTGAACACAGTGCAATGATTGTCGCTACATCTTTCTCAGCATGTCAAACTGAGTAGCTATGTAAAAACTCTACTGGCCACCATCAACCTTTTAGGATTTAGAAACAGATTTTCCCCACCAGCATCCATAGGCCTATGGGGTAGTTGAAACCTGGATCCTTGATCTGAAGCCTTGGAGATATTCCAAATCATTTTAGTTTGAATTCTCCTGCACATCAATCTGATTTGTTTTCCATAGGTCAATGGAGTAGCAGGAACCCTTTAGTAGGTATAAGCAGATATTGCCAGAGAGATTCCATGAGCATACTGAGTCAAAGAAGCTAGAATTCTTCCTAGGAAGATTTGAATCCAATGAAATGCTGTTAGGTTCCCATGGCTCACAACCTCAAACTCAGTCAACATACAAGAAGTCATACAGCTAACAATAACCATTTACTATTTAGAGGGTATTTCCAGTTAAAAGCCATAAGCATTTCTGATAAAAGAAACCTGAATACTCATTACTAATACAAAACATAATAATATAGCCCTAAATTCCTCTAATTTAGCATATCAACTGAGTGACTATGTATATGTTCACCTGGCCACCATCAACCTTTTAGGATTAAGAACCAGATATTGCCAGTCAGCATACATACACCTATGGAGTAAATGACACCTGTATCCTTGATCTGCAAGCCTGCAAGATAAAAAGTTCTTTGGTTTAAATTCATCAGCTTCCAAACTGAGTTGCTTTCCCACAGTTCAAGAGGATAACAGCAACCGTTATATATTTAGAAGCAGACGTTTCCAGGGAACTTCCATCAACATATTGGATCAAAGAAACCTGAGTTCTTCCTAGAAAGACTTAAAGCTAGTGAAATACTGTTAGGTTCCTATGGCTCAGAAGCTCAACCCCAGTGACCATACAAGATTTCATTCAGCTAACAAAAAACATTTAGTATTCACAGACTGATATATCCAGTCAGCTGTCATAAGCATGTCTAGTCAAAGAAACCTGAATCCTTGATCTTGACTCTTGAACACAGTAAAATGCCTGTGGGTCATATTACTCCACACATCCAACTGAGTGACTATGTAAAAGCTCTAACAACCACCTTCAACTTCTTAGGATTTAGTAGCATATATTCCCAGTCACCTTCCATAGGCCTATGGAGTAAAGGAAACCAGAAAGCTTGATTTGATGGCTTGCAGCCAGTTCAAAGCTCTGATGTTCAAATTGTTCAACACCTCAGATTGAGTTGCTTTGCAATAGATAAAATGGGTAACAGCAACCATTTAATATTAGAAACAGATACTGCCAGGGAGCTTCCATTGACTACTGGGTCATAAAAATCAGAGTTCTTCCTAGGAATAATTGAAGCCAGTGAGATGCTGTTAGATTCATATTGGTCAGAACCTCAACCTAAGTGAGCATCAAGAGTTCATTCCCTTAACAACGAACCATTTCATTTTTAGAGACTGATATGTCCAGTCAGCTGCTGTAAGCACATCTAGTCAAAGTAACTTGAATCCTTGATCTGAATTCTTGACAACAATAAAATACCTGTAGTTTAATCTTACTCAGCACATAAAACTGAGTGACTATGTAAAGGCTCAGCCAGCCATAATTAATCTTTTAGGATTTAGAAGCAGACATTGGCAGTCAGAGTCCATAGGCTGATGGAGTAAATGGAACCTGAATCCTTGATCTGAAGCCTTGCAGCTAGCCAAAAGCTCTTTGGTTTAAATTCTTTTGCACCTCAACCTAAGTTGCTTTGTGATAGCTCAAGAGAGTAACAGTAACATATTCTATTTAGAAGCAAATATTGCCAGGGATCTTCCACTGGCACCCAGCTAATAGGTGTCAATTTAGACATGCATGCCAATTTGGACATGCATGTTGATTTTGTCAATTTCAACATGAGCATCCATTGTGGCATTCATGTTGATTTTGACATGTATGTCAACTTGGATGTGCGTGTCCATTTGAAAGTGTGTGGATTTTACATGTGTGTCGATTTTGACATGTGTGACAATTTGGATGTGCAGGTCAATTTGTACACGTGTTGATTTTGACATGCATGTCAATCATGTCAAATTTGACATGCAAGTTTGTTTTTCGGTCGGTCGTGGGGCTTGGGTGCTGTCCCTGAGCTCTTCCGCTCAAGGCAAGAATTCTACCACTTGAGCCACAGCACCACTTCCAGTTTTCTAGTGGTTTTTATTGGAAATAAGAGTCTCACAGACTTTCCTGCCTCGGCTGGCTTTGAACCTCAATCCTCAGATCTCAGCCTCCTGAATAACTAGGATTACAGCCGTGAGCCTGTAATACTAATCCTAGGATTACAGGCGCCTGGTGCTACTTTATTTTGATGCAGGTTTCATTTTTTTAATCAGTTCTAGGGCTTGAACTCTGTGCCTGGGCTCTGTCTGTCCCTGAGCTCTTCAACTCAAGGCTAGAGCTCTACCATGTGAAGCAAAGCACCACTTCCAGTTTTCTGGTGGTTAATTAAAGAGTCCCACTGATTTTCCTGCCTTGGCTTGCTTCTAACCACAATCCTTATATCTCAGCCTCCTGAGTAGCTAGGATTACAGGTATGAGCCACCAGTGCCCAATTAACAGGAGTTGATTTAGACATACGTATCAATTTAGATTTGTGGGCTAATTTTGTCATGCATGTCAATTTGGACATGCATGTGGACTTTGACATATGTGTCAATTTTGTCAATTATGACATTTGTGTTGATTTTGACAAGTATGTCAATTTTGGCATGGACATTGATTTGGCATGCATGTCAATTTTGACATACATGTCAATTTGGAGACACATGTAAATTTGATGTGTGTCTATTGTGACACTGTGTCAAATTATTTTGTCAGTCATAGTGCTTGAATTCTGGGACTGGGTTATGTCCCTGAGCTCTTCAGCTCAAGGCTAATGCTCTACCATGTAAGCCACAGCCCCACTTCTGGGTTTTTGGTGGTTAATTGGAGATAAGAGTCTCCTGCCTGGACTAGCTTCCAACCACGATCCTGAGATCTAAGGATTCAGAGTAGCTAGGATTATAGGCTTGAGCTATCAACACCTACGTAACGTGTCGATTGTTACTTATGCGTCAATTTAGACATGTGTGTCGATTTTGACATGTGTGTCCATTTGGACAAGTATAACAAATCAGACCTTTGTATCTCTTTGAACATGCTTGTGGATTTTGACATGCAACTCAATTGGGTCCATTTTGACATGTGTGTCGATTTTTTCTGGTGTTTAATTGGAGATAAAAGTCTCATAGACTTTCCTATTTGGGATGGCTGCAAACCACAATCCTAAGATCCCTGCCTCCTGAGTAGCTAGGATAAAAGGGGTGATCCAAAGACAGGCAACTAATGGGAATGGATTTTCGTATGTGTGTCAATTTAGATAAGTGTGTCAATTGTGATATACAGTGGATTTGGACATGCATGTGAATTTTGACATGTGTGTCAATTGTGTTAATTTTGATATTTGTGTCTATACTGACATGCTCATTGATTTTGACAAGAACGTTGATTTCCACATGTGTTCCGAGTTGGACATGTATGTCAATATTGACGTGTGTGGATATGACATGTGTGTCATTTTCAATATGTGGGTCAATTTGGTTATGCATGTAGATTTTGACATCCATGTCAATTGTGTTCATTTTGACATGCTTCTACATATTGACATGTGTGTCAATTATGACATGGTGTTGGTTTTTTTATTTGTCAGTCTTAGGGCTTGAACTCTGAGCCTTGGTACTGTCCCCTAGGTCTTCAGCTCAAGGGCTACTAAGCCCATTCTTCAGTGAGAGTAAATGATGTTGTGTCTTCATTATAGAACCATATGAGGGAGCCCTAAGCCCAGCCTTACACGACTGCAAATGATGACTCTTCACTTTCACCACACGAGGGCTCCATAATCCCAGACTTCCATGAGAGCTAATGGTAATCCTTCACTCTCACCTCAAAAAGGCACCCTAAGCCCAGGCTTCCAAGAGAGCACTCATGGGCTTAGGGAGCCCTCTCATAATGAAAGTGAAGAATTATCATTTGTTGTCACAGTCACCCTCTTGTGCTGCATTCGTGTCCATGCCACATCATTTGCTCTCACAGTAGCCTGGTCTTAGGGAGTCCCCTTGTGGTGTAAGTGAAGAATGACCATAATGTGTTCCCCTGGAGGCCTGGGCCTAGTGTGCCCTCTTGTGGTGCAAGTGAAGCATCACCATCATATGCTCTCAAAGAAGCCTGGGATTAGGGTGCCCTCTTCCTGTGCAATAATGAAGACAAGAATCATCATTTGCTCTCATGGAAGCCTGGGATTATGGAGCCCTCGTGTGGTTAAAGTGAAAAATCACCATTATTTGCACTTGTGGAAGGCTGAACTTAGGGTGCCCTCTTGTGGTGCAAGTAAAGCATCACCATCATTTGCTCTCATGGAAGCTTGGGCTTAGGGCTCCCTCATGTGGTGCTATAGTGAAGATGCAACATCATTTTCTCTGATGGAATTCTCGGCTTAGGGAGCCCTTTTGTGGTGCAATAGTGAAGATGGACCATCATTTGAACTCACCGAAGCCTGAGTTTAAAGCACCTTCATGTGGTGAAAGTGAAGAACCACCATTATTTGCTCTCATGGAGGCCTAGGATTAGAGCACCATTTGGTGGTGAAAAAAATCACCATCATTTGCTCTCACCGAAGTCTGAGCTTAGGGCAACATCCTGTAGTGCAATAGTAAAGATGCACTACCATTTTCTCTCATGGAGGCCTGCTTTTTGGGTGGATGCCAGCACCCGTGAGGGCAGCAGGAATGGGGGCTGTATGCTGTGAGCAGATGCCGATCTCTGTGTGGGCAGTAAGCTGTGAGCAGCTGCCAGCATCCATGTGGACAACAGGCATGGGGCAATGCGCTGTGAGCAAAAGCCAGTGTCTGTGTGGACAGTGAACCTGGGGGAAGCTTGGCTGGGAGCAGACACCAGCATCCAGGTGGGCAGCAGGTGTGAGGCAGTGCCACTGGTGTCCCTGTGGTCGGCAGGCTTGGAAGCAGCTTGATTGTGAGTGGACAGCAGGGTCTGTGAGGGCAGTGGGCATTGTGCAATGTGCCGTGATTGGATGCTGGCATCCAAGTGGGCAGTGGGCAATAGGCAGTGTGCTGAGAATGGGCGCCATGTAGGAGCACGTGTTGTGCAGTGCACTGGTAGTGGACACTGGCATCCATGTGGGCAGCAGGTGCGAGGCAGTGCACTGTGAGTGGAAACCAGCATCTATGTGGGAAGCTGACATGGGGCAGCACGTTGTGAGCAGACAGCAGCATCTGTGTGGGCAGCATGCTGTCAGCAGAAGCCAGTGTCCGTGTGGTCATCAGGCATGGGCTATGCCCTGTGACCAGACAATGGCATCCTCATGGGCACTGGATATGGGGCAGTGCACTGTGTGAGCAAATGCGTGAGCATTGGGCATCAGGGCAACTTGGCTATAAGTGAATGCCAGCATAAATATGGGCAGTGGGCGTGGTGGGAGCTTGGATATGAGCAGATGCCAGCATCCGGCTGGAGAGCAGGCATTGTGCAGTACACTGTGAGCAGCTGCCCATTTCTGTGTGGGCAGCGGGTATGGGGCAATATGCTGTGAGTGGATGCCAGTGTCCATGTGGGCAGCGGACATTGTGCACTGCTCTATGAGAGGACTCCACTGTCTGTGTGGGCAGCGGGCCAGGGGCAGTGTGATGTGAATGGACCCCAGCACCCATGTGGTCAGCAGGCATGGGCAGTGTGATGTGAGTGGACGCCAGCATCTATGTGGGCAGCAGGCGTGGGGGAAACTTGGCTGTGAGTGGACACTGGTGTCTATGTGTGGACATTGGCATCCGCGTGGACAGCAGGCATTGTGCAGTGTGCTGTGAGCCAATGACGATAGCATCCATGTGGGCAGCAAGCTGTGGCACTACACTGTGAGCAGACGATGGCATCAGTGTGGGCAGCAGGTGTTGTGTAGTGAGCCATCAGCAAATGCCTGCATCCATGGAGGTGGCGTGCATCGGGTAGATGAGCAGAGCACTCAGAATTTGGGGACCTTAAGAGAAATATTATAAGGCCCCCAAATTCTGAGTGCTCTACTTTGTCATTTGCATCCTGAGCTCCAATACACTCATCATCTTGTTTTAGTGCCCCTAACCTGAGTGCTCTACACATTAACACAAGGACAGACATGCCAACAAAGTTAACTACATAGCTTCTTTCTGTCAAAAGCAGCTCCTTTGTTTATCCTAGCACCTAGGCCTGTCCCCTCCCCTCTCACTATCCACAGCCACAGATCTGATTTTCTTCCCCTGACTTTGTGGAAAGCTGATGCGTGTACATCTGGATCTCGGGATGCAAATGACAAAGTTAAGCTCTCAGAACTTGGGGGCCTTAAAAGTTTTTTGCCAGTCCTGGGGCTTTAACTCAGGGCCTGGGCACTGGCTCTGGGCTTCTTTTGTTCAAGGCTAGCACTCTAGCACTTGACACAGCATCACTTCTGGCTTTGTCTGCATATGTGGTGCTAAGGAATTGAACCCAGGGCTTCGTGCATGCTAGGCAAGCATCATATCACTAAGCCACATTCCCAGTGCCAACCCCTTTTATGACAAAATTTCTGCAGAAACTGGAGTAGAAAAAGGTCATAACTCAACAGAAGAAAGGTTACCTAATATAGACCTACACACAACATCATACTAAATGGGAAATCTGTAACCAGTTTTCCTAAAATCAGGAACAGAACTCAATATCCGCTTACCCCACTCTTATTCAACATATTCCTACAATTCCTAGATGGGGAAATAAGGCAAGATAAAAAATGAAAGTTATTGTTTGTCACTATTGTGATTCTGTATTTAAAAACCCTAAAGAGTCCACTAAAATTCTAAATCTGATAAACATAGCAGGATTTAAAAGCAACAATCAAAAGTCAGTGGAGGGGGCTGGGAAGGTGGCTCAGTGGTAGAGCGCTTACCCTGCATGCATGAGGCCCTGGGTTCGATTCCCCAGCACCACATAAGCAAAAAGAAAAAAAAGTCAATGGGGGGCTGGGAAAGTGTCTCAGTGGTACAGTGCTTGCCTTGCATGCATGAGGCCCTGGGTTCAATTCCTCAGCACCACATAAGCAGAAAAAGCCGGAAGTGGCACTGTGGCTCAAAGGGTAGACTGCTAGCTTTGAGCTGAAGAGCTGAGAGACAGTGCCCAGGCCCAGAGTTCAGGCTCCACAACCGACAAAAAAAAAGTCAATAAGGTTTTTTGTTTGTTTGTTTGGTGTTGTTGTTGGTGTTGGTGTTGTTTAGTGCTGATCCTCCTGGGGCTTTAACTCATCCTGAGACGTGTCCCTGAATTTTTGTGTTTTTGTTTTTGTTTTTACTAAAGGCTAGTGCTCTATCACTTGAGCTACAGCTCCACTTCTGGCTTTTTAGTGGTTAATTGAAGAAAAGAGTCTTCACATCCTTTCCTGCTCAGACTGGCTTCCAAACCCATTCAGTGTTTACAGAAAGAAATAATCTCAGCCTCCTGCGTAGCTAGAATTACATCAGTGCCCAACAGTCAATTGTTGTTGCTTTTTTTTAATACCAATAATGAAATAGCAAAGCAGTAAATCAAGGAAATAATTCTATTTAAAATAGCCTCAAAAATAACAAGATATCTAAGCACTAACCTAAGGAGAGTAAAAACCTTTACAAAAACAACTACAGCAAGTCGCTGGTGGCTCATGCTTGTAATCCTGTCTATTCAGGAGGCTGAGATCTGAGGTTCAGCCCAGGCAGAAAAGTCCCTGTGAGACTCTTATCTCCAATTAACTACTCAAAAATGGGTGGTGCTGTGCCTCTAGTGATAGAGCACTAGCCTTGAGCACAAAGAGGCTGAGGGTCAACACCCAGGCCCTGAGTTCAAGTCTTGCAACCGACAAAAAAAAATACCTTGAAGAAAGTAATTGAAGAAGACATTAGAAGTTGAAAAGACCTCCCAACTCATGGGCTGACAGAATATCATGAAGATGAACACAGCCACTGAAAGCAATGTACAGATTCAATGCAAAGTCCTGATGACATTCTTCACAGAAATAGAAGAAATAGAAAATTCATATGAAAGACATCATGCACAAGTCAGGCACTGGTGGCTCACGCCTGTAATCCTAGCTGCCCAGCAGGCTGAGATCTAAGGATCAGGACTCAAAGGCAGCCCAGGCAGGAAAGTCCATGAGATTCTTTATCTCCATTGAACCACCAGAAAACAGGAAGCGGCACTGTGGCTCAAGTGGTAGAGCGCTGGCCTTGAGCTGAAGAGCTCAGGGACAGCACCCAGGCCCAGCGTTTAAGCCCCAGGATTGACAAAGATAAAACAAAAAAAAAGTCCTAACTTCAATCTCAAGTACTAGATTTTTAAATTGTAGTGAAAGAGAGGAGTGAGGGTAAGGGCAAAAGAGAAAGAGAAGGGGTGTGGGCCAAACAGTAGAGAGCCGTGGAAGGAGCACCAGAAGGGGTGGGGCAAAGGGCACTAGAAGAAGCAGTGTAATTAGCACCAGAAGAGACAAGGGAAAAAGGCACTGGAAGAGGCAGGGCAAGGCCAAGAGGGCCATTGGAGTTCTTTTCCTTTTTCTCTTCTTTTGTGACAGTACTGGAACTCGAACTCAGTACCTGCTGCTCTCTCTTGCTTTTTTGCCCAAGGCTGGTGCTCTACCACTTGAGCCACATCTCCACTTCCAGCTTTTCACTGGTTCATTGTCTACCCAGGCTGACTTTGAGCCTCTTATCTTCAGATCCCAGCCTTCTGAGGATGTGGGATTATAGGCTTGACCTACTGATGCCCACCAGCATTGGGTCTCTTGTTATAATATTGGGACTATGGCAGAGCAGATCAAGGGGTTTGTGTGTTTGGAGCAAAGGGCAGAGAAGGACACATTCTCAGCGTGGGGATGGAGAGAGGGCTTCCTACAGGCCATAATGTTCCCAATGTGTCAGAACTCACAAAGATGTGGAAGGAGCTGGAGCTAGACTTGCTGATGCAATCTGTAATCCCAGCACTCTGGAAGGCAGGGGCAGAAGTTTTACAAGTTCCAGACAGTCTGTGCTGTATCGCAAGTCAGACTGTGTTGAAAGCATCCTTTTGTTTTGTTTTTGTTTTTTGGTCCGGTCGTCGGGCCTGAACTCTGGGCCTGGGCACTGCCCCTCAGCTCTTCAGCTCAAGGCTAGCACTCTACCACTTGAGCCACAGCCCCACTTCCGGTTTTTTTCTTTTTTGCTTATGTGGTGCTGAGGAATCGAACCCAGGGCCTCATGCATGCAAGGCAAGCACTCTACCACTGAGCCACCTTCCCAGCCCATTGAAAGCATCCCTATTGAGCTCCCTCAGCTATTTATTTTCACCTCAAACCTCAGTACTCCTATTCATCCCTTGAAACCCAGCTTAAGCATCACCACCTCTCATAACCTTTTTGATTACTCAGGTCCCACCTCTATTCTTGTCTGCCACATGGGGAGGTAGAACTGGGGCATTGATTTCCATTCAATTTAGCAACTTGATCTCTGGATGTCTTTTCCTGAGGTGAAGACCTTAACAACAGCCAAGCCTAGCTGTAGAGATAAGATTGTATCTGACATCTCAGGAGAACTGGAGGCTGTCCAGTAGTGACACCTGCCATTCCTTGGACTTTAGCACACTGATCTGAGCAGTGACTGTCTTATCGGTGATCTCCTTGTCCGGGAGATAGGGCACAGCTCACAGTGGGAAGCTTCAGGGTCATCACTTAGCTATCATGAGATTGGTGCTGTCGTGGTTAGCGCGCGAGCGCGCGCGCGCGCGCGCGCGTGTGTGTGTGTGCGTGTGCGTGTGTGTGTGTGGTGTCAGGGGTTGGCACCAGGTGCCTTGCACGTGCTAGGCCAGCGCTTTTCCACCGAGCCTCCCCCCAGCCCCGCTGCGGGGTGTGGGTGTGAAAGGTACCCATTCACTCGCCTACTCCGTGGGAAGCAGCGAAGGTTCACTACTTATGGTAGGTGCTTCAATGGCAGATTCCTTTTACAGAAGAGGAGAAACTGAGGCCCGGGGAGGGTGAGTGTTAGTCCCAGTCAGCATCAAGGAAGCCAAACTCTGAAAATTGTGTCAATGCAAGTGGGGTGGGGAAAACATGACCTAGCCCTGCAGATTGTGGGCGCCCGAGGCGCGGGAGGGGAGGAAGGGGGAAACAGGGACCGAGCCTGGGGGGCGTGGCGGGATAAAAGGACGCAGATTTCTGCG